ACAGCCCATAATAACAGTTCAAATTAAGTACAATTTATCTACATGAAATTCATCTTCTCACCTCTTAGCCTATTAAAAGATGTTCCATGTCTGGTAAACCCACTCTGAAGCGTAATACTGCACGGGTTATCCTACCAACTGTTACATATGTAGGCAATCTGAGTGCAGGGCTAAAATACAGTTAACTTCCAGGACAGCATAGTTCATTTCCAGGATATTTGGTCATTTACAGGTCATTCTCTTCATTTTAATGTTTTTCAGGACAACATGGGAACCCTGTCTTTCAAGTCTAATTATTGAACCTGTAAGTGCAACCAAACATGCAGTATTTGCAAGAGTTGGGATTAATGACGAGATTTCTTAATAAACACTGTATGCCTACTGGAGACAGTTAATGAGCTTTAACTGTGAAGGGCCATCAGTCTTCACCGCTCCTTCCACCTTCACCATAACATCCAAATCTACTGAACTTAACAAATAATAAACTTTACTTGTAGACCTCATACTTCTCATTATTGTGCTTTAGAAATTCAGTGATCGATTTATGAGTTTACTGCTTAAGTTTTGAGTGTGAGCTTTCATTTTCTGTCACCTTTTGTTCAGTCTGTTCTGCTTTATGAGGCTGTGTGTGTGTGCGTGTATGTGTGTGTGTTGCAGTCTACAGTGTGGAGAGCCTGTAGGAAGAAAAGGTTTTTGTGGGTCTGCTTGCACATACATTTGAGGAGGTTTGAGGGACAATAACAGCAAACACAAAGGCTGCCACCAGATGCCATATGCAACCATGTGCAACCAGAATATGTGCCACTTAAAATAACTGAACGGGTCATTAATTATTAGATGAAATATTTTAGCATTGCGAATCGTCTTTTAGGGGGCAATGCTCTTACTTTGACATTAAATAGGAGATTGACGTTTAGTGTTCATCCCAACTATCAACACAGTCACGACATTAGCTTCCTCATGTTGCTAAGCTAGTAGGACAACACAGGATTGTGCCGTTTAAAATGCTGCATGTTATTCCAAAATTGACGTGTTAAGAGGTTAAACTACGTCCTAAAAATGCCCATTACATGAAAGCAGTTAGACAAATAAAGTCAAATGAACGTCAGCCAATATTAACTGTATTGGTTGTAGCATCACGAGATAGCGTTACCTAACGTTGACACACAAGTACTAACGCGATAGCTCGGGAGAAATAATCTTGCCATGGCATAACGTTAGCTCTTGAATTGATTTCTCATCCGTCGGAGTGTTTCTGCGTAGCGAGCAAAAACGTAGAATAACGACTATAAAATTAACAAAACACAGTAATACTCCTCACCAGCTTGTGTGTTGGGTCCGGTTACAATCTGCAACCAACAGTATATGAATGTACAAGCCTCCTGCTCTTTTCAACCTGTTCCCCTCACTCCGACTGCTTGCCAATGTACAGTTTGATGGACGTACAAAGTGGACCAATCACAGGCCAGAGAATAGAAAACGGCTCTTTCAATATGCATTCAAGTGCTCTTTGTAAACCCCGAAACAATATAATATTCAGAGAAAAGTAAGTCATTATCTTCAATTCTGACGCTTAATTTCAAAATACATACAGAAGTTTTGTGTTTTGTTTACGCGTAGTTTTTTCCTATTAAAGTTTAGTCACTAAAATTCCACTTTTACATGGAGGTTTGCTAGTGTGCCCAATTTCCGACGATGACGAACTCACCTTCTGATGTTTCAAAAGTGACGGCATCAAAAATATTAAAGATGTGTGATGCAAAAAAGTGTTTTCTTCATTATTATATATGATATAGTTTTTCTTTGTATTATTTTCTTTTATTATATTTATGCTAATGTGCTGACTGTTATAATCTACTTGCCTACAACGTTGTATAACAATAGGCAATCATTGATACATATTTCAGCCACTGGTTTATAATAAAATGGGCAGACAAATACTTTTTTAAAATGTATTATTGCTCACTCTCCCTTACTTTAACTACTAGACTAAACTGAAAGCCATCCTGGGAGGTGTATGCTTTGTGACCTGCCACATGAGGGCAGTGTCTTTTTGCTTCACACATCCCTATCTATGCTCATGTTGACTCAAGTTTAAAATAAACATGGTTTCATATGTAAAAATAAATAAATAAAGCTATACTACTATACTTTTCCACTGAACTGCAAAGTAAATGGGGACAGCTATTCTTGTCCCTTAACAATTATAAACCAACATGCAGTCAGGATGAGTCACTACAGAGAGGCTATTGTTTTAATGTGGAAAGAGATGGTACACATACATTTCATTTAGTGATGAGAATGTTTAATTGGCATTATGTTTACTGAAAAATCATGAAATTGTTTTTCTGTTGTTCTCATACCATCACCAGTACTACCACCAATGAAGCTGCAGTAGGTAACCTTTATAAAAAAGATAACTTGCTGAAACTTTCAGTATATCTTGACAGTATATGAGACAGATAATCTGTGAAAAAATCTGGTTCACTGGTCCACTGGACCTGAACGAAACCAACCAATCAGAACCGAGAAAGATAGTCGACTGTTGAGTCTTATTCTCACGTCGTCATATACAGACTCTTTGGTACCCTGGGAATGAGACTCAATAATCAAATTTCTTCAAGCCTCCAAACTAAAGTGTCTTTATATCTTTCTTGGCGATTGGTTGTTTTTCATTTCAGGCCGGTGGTTCTTGCAAATACCACAAGTGAGCACTAGGAGAGTCAGAGGAACCAGATTTTTTCACAGATTATCTGTCTAATGTAATACTGTCAGAATAGGGAAAGTTTCAGAAAATATAATAAAATAAAAATTACAGACAGCAGTTTTAAATATGCCTCTGAATAGTTCCTTATACACACACACATATAGAAAGAAAAAGAGAACATGTGTAATAGATACAACTCAGTGGTTCATAAATCTACAGTTTCCTCCCTTGGACATATACTAAATCCTGACTGTTCCTGTCTAACAATACCAGGGAAAAGACACACAGAAAGAGTGAGGGGGGGTGGGGGTATGTGGGGCAGATAAACTCTCTAAAATGAAGCGTTTTATATCAAGTGTTAGTGATAACACAGCTCCGGGGTAGTGAGATGCTTTTGCATTAACAGAGAAAGATTTATAAATACTCTCTCACTACCATATGGGCTACTCTTCAGCATTCTTACATAACCCGCTGAATATGTGGAGGAGGCAGAGAGCAGCATCCAAGCACTGCACACTGCCCACACACACACACACATACACAATGGAGAGGAGAGTGGAGTTAAAAATCTGGAGGAGTTTGGGCAGAGAAAGAAGATAAGTTAGATGTTGCAGTTAGAAGTCAGGGTCAAATTCTCTCATTTGTCCTCTTCTTTCTCTAATTGTCTTTTTTGCCACAACAACTGCATTCACTGGTACTTCTTTATGTAGGGTATATGCAGACTACAGAGATTTGTGGAGAGACCAAATATTTTAACAAAGTTTTAGGGAGACATGGTTATTCAATTTCTTGTTGAGAGTTTGAAGAGAAGATTGATAGCACTTTCGCATCTGCAGCCAGAAGACAGTTAACCTAGCTTAGCATAGACAAGCAAGACAGACGGAAAAAGCCAGTTTGATTCTGTGCAGAGGGAACAGAATATAAATCTGTCAGCCCCCTCTAAAACTCACAATTAAATTAAAACACTGAGATAGAGTCTTTGTGCTAAACTAAGCTAACCTGCTGCTGCTAGTTGCTTCATATTTACCAAATAGTCATTAGAGTGGTATTGATCTTCAAATATAACTCTTTGAAAAAAAAGGAGTTAAATGTATTAGCCAAAATGTTGAAACCATGCCTTTAAATAGAAAGTTTCAGAAAAACATAGAAAAGACATATAGCTAAACAGTGGCACTATGATGAAAGGTGACAATGATTCTAGGGGCCTAAAATAAAAAAAAATAGACAAAAACCTTTCACAATTAGCAACAAAACTGCACACCTACTGTCATTTGCAACATGCTGGAATATTACCATTTTGTTAAGTAAATGACTGAATGGAATGGTTGATTGCTTTTTTGTTGCATACGATTGGAAAGAGTTTGTACTTTGTTTGCAGCCATTTACCGGAATACGCAGGAACTTTTCAAAGAATGTGGCATACAGAATGACTTGTCCAACTCAAAGACCCGCACCAGACATGTATCATAATGTGTGTCTGGTGTGTTTTTTTCTGCAAAAAAGTATAATTTCCACACTGAAATTCTTAAATAAGACATCTACTCCTTCTACATCCATTAAAGTATCTCCGCAATTTATCTAACATTTTCTTACCTGACACAAATGTCTCCTACTTCACTACAAAGTCATTCTCAGTGGATGTGGCACTGTGGCTTAAAATTCTGTGCATCACACTGTACAAGTTGCATATTTGGGACCAGGATGTTTGTGATGGTCACAAATCATGCTTGGTAGGCCCCTCCTTAAAATCAGCTTTTTCAATGAGCACAGAGAAACTTTCCCACCTTTCAGCAGATGAATGTGAAAACATCCTTCTAGTGTAAACTCTGCACATACATGCATTCACACAGCC